CCAGATAAGGGAAGTAGAGGCAACATCCTTGAAGGACAACACATCCCCTTGGATATTGAAAAGAACGCTGGTGTTATTGCAGTATGGCAAGAGACTGAAAAGGAACCTAAGTTATTGCCTTCACGTGGTTTTATGAGTGAAACAGAAGCTGAAACAAAGCCAATGCTAAGTGCTTTAGGTGTTGACCTTTCACCTGGGGAGCCCCAAAAAGTTAGAGAGTTGCTGCCAACACCGGAGTTCCCCAGACCTCAAAAGCCTACAAAAGAAACTAAAGAGGGCACAAAATATAATGAAAGTTCTTCTATTAATTCCCAAGACATCGAGGAAGACTATGAAATCGATCTAAAAAGGCTTGAAGTCCGAGATGAAGTGCTAGGCGAAGGGGAATTTGGGATTGTCTATAAAGGACGCTATCATTGTAAGGATACGAAAGCCATTGATGTAGCAGTGAAACAGTTGAAAGGTTTGTATGTTGATAGTAAATTCATTCCTTGTGTTGGTTATACTGCATCTCAATCAGCACAAGACAAAATCGTCTGGTTCTCATGACTATTTTTGTCATTTTTTCAATCTATACCATCACGCTTATACTGACCAATCATTTTCAACGACGTGCCGACTCTGAAGATGACTTCCGCTCCGAAAGTCAGTCAGCAATAGCAGGTCCTCTTACAACTACCCTACTCGGGACGGTCACACGATCACACCATGCGAAACTGTACATATTTGTAAAAAAAAAATAGCAAAAGAAAAAAAGTGAAAAACAAATTTAAGATCACTTAATTACGTCCTCTTAAAAACGTCATAGAGGATCTGTATTTCGCTATAGCATGCAGCCGACTATAAAGCTAAAATAGGTCATTCCCGAGATGCTTTGTGCCTCTGTTTCAAATCCAGAATTCGTTCCAAACATTTCATATAAAAATGAGTTTGATTTGCATGAAAATGAACCTGTAGGCGGAAACATTTCCATAGGAATGGTTTCGCATGAAGACTTGTTTTGACACAGAGCACAAGGGGACTCGGGGATGATCTATTTGAAAATGATAAGTGAATTACTAGACAAATTTAGCTTTTTCTTCTCTTTGAATATATAGACACAGCTGGTATGGCAAAAAAAGTTGCTCTAGTCAGTGAAATACAGATGTTGAAACGGGTTGGACGGCATCCTAATATAGTCAACTTAGTTGGCGCGTGCACCCAGGGTGGTAAGTTGTCAAGAAATCATCATGTGACCATGAGCTAAAAAACGGCAATAAAATGGATTGTCACTAAGTTTCCAGCTACCTAGGAGTTATTCGAATATTTTAGGCTAGTGCAAGGATGTTCAAAGCGCGATTAAGCTAATCCAGGACTAGCTTAAATGTCCCGGCAATTCGTTTTTGTGACGTTTCAGTTGGGGATCTTTTGAAATCTTTTGCCCTTCAGTTTCGACTTGGTAAAATAAAGATCGATTCGAGCCAACTGGCCCATCGAGAAAATCAATGAATTTCTCTTTACCCATTCATACACCTGGCTGGAGAGAAGCACAGTGATAGAAGTGTCTGACCCAAGAACACAACAAAATAGCCCTAGGAAGAGCTAGCACCCAGACCGTCTGGCTCGGCGGTGCATCATACATTTTTCGGTTCTTGGCTTTACTAATTTCAGATGTTAAACAACAATAGTGAAACACTGTAATTCTATGCAGACTGGAGCATCGGGGAGCGAGAAACTGTCCGCGCTGATGTATAACTAAAGATTCTTGAAGCTTGGGTACTGTTTCAAAATACGGCGGGACTTTCTCTGAACACTTCCGTCTCAAAGGAGACCAGGCTATTAAGAGTTAACCACTTTTTCTTGTTATTTGGTTAGAAAATATTCTTCTGGTCACTGATTTGATTCCTGGAGGAACTCTTGAAAGTTTGTTGACATCCAAGCCTGCCCCTAGTGAGCACGGCGAGTACGAAAATGTCAAATGTGCGCTGAATGATCGGGAGCTGATAAAAATTGCTCTGCAGATCGCCTCAGGAATGCAGCACTTGGAAAGCAAGAAGGTGCGTGATACATTGTTTACAGTGTACTTGTACTACAAAAATATGGTTCTAAATGTCTGTTGTTATGGCTCTACAAGGAAACAATGCTACGTTTTATACTGCGTCAAATGCCAAGCAAGGAGATGCATTTCATCTTCTCCGATTGGCAACAAATAGTCAAAAAATTGTTTCTTGTTGAGGACAAAATTAGTCACTCAGCTTTGGAATTTTCCTGCACCTCCATTTCGTATGAAGTTATTTTGTAATCATGACAACTCAGGGTTGCTCCTTTCGTCATAGTGGCAACCTTGTGACGGATTAGTTATGAAAAGTTTAAAAATTCTTTGTTTCAAAATTAAATGTTAGGGTAAGATGAGGTAACTGTTCTCCAATTTGGCAATCTCTACTTTGTTGGAACATATTCTTCGTGTGTTTAAAATAAGAATATCATAACCTCACTTCACGAGTTGCTGCTGTTTTGGGCTTGGTCATTTTGCCTGTTCCGGAATTTATGGAAACGCCTCATGTGTTCTTTTCTACAGTGTATTCATGGCGACTTAGCAGCAAGAAATGTCTTCATTGACGAAAATAAAGTTGCCAAACTTGGAGACTTTGGATTGGCAAGAGATATCTCAGATCGTGGCATATACAACAAGACGTCCAATGTAAGTACAGGATAGACGCCGAACACGCTGCCGTAAGACCAAAACAAACACGGCTACCGTGCACCACGCGTGCGCCACACAATGAACGAAATTCTGGCGAGAGCTATTTCCCCGGGTCAATAATGTCTTATTTCGATAAGCCAATGCTATTTGTGGACAGAAACAGCAACAACAACAACAATAGTTTCTTGACACTCCTCTGATGGGGCTTTTCAGTAGCAAGGGCTTTCCAGTGACAAGAAAAAGAAATCAAACTATAATGTATTCAGTTACTTCCATGTCAGTTAGCAATACTTGGGTACATTTTCTTTCATAGGGTAAGGTCCCCTGGAGATGGCTGTCTTTAGAATCGTTGAGATTTCTGGTCTATACATCACAGAGTGACGTGTAAGTAACAGAATCACGCTATATGTGCGTTTTCTTGCATGTTTTACAATTGTCAAGCCTTACACTGTATAATACACCTTCTGCAACGAGGATGGCGACGTCAAGGACAACACCTGGAGGACGCTCAACCTTCATTTTATGCTTGACTTAAGAACCTTGCAAATGATGCATTGGGAGTACATATTGGCTTCCAACCCCGTAAAAAAATGATAAGAAGAACACATCGTTCAGTGCGGGCAGAATTTGGTCATCTTGCCTCGCTATTGTTCAAAGATCAAGGGGTTTTTGAGTTCCTTATCCTGTAACTCCTAGTGAATCGAAGCCATGACGATGAAGCTTGAATGATTTATAGAACATTTATAAAATAACTGAGATACTACGCACGCTCTGATTGGTCAATAGAGTTGCTAAACCTATATTCTGTTGTACCGGTGAACCACGGCTCCCGATCTATGGCAACTCTACGCGGGAACTAGAGAACTCGGCACTCTAGCGATAACAAATGTAATAACGAGTTTTGCCTTTCACTTGCTGAGATATCAATAGCACGAATATCTTTTCATTCAACATAGAAATTTGCAAGGAAAAAAAGGACCAGAAGTTGGTCGTCATATAAAGCTTTATATGTTTTTCCACGGCGAAAATTCTACGCCGACTCCGGTTACGCTTGAGATTAAAATTAAGGAAGTTTTAAATCCTTTTTTTGGTGCTTCCCACGGTCTGTGGAGGACGGAGTCAGCTGGGCTTGACTGATCAATCTGGGTTGTCAAAAAGGCAGGGAAAATATTTTCTATCGTGTTATAAAACGATAAATGAATTTGGTTTCCATAAGCTTAGCTTTCAGGCAATAGTTTTCATATAGCAAAATACCAAGAAACATGCACTTCATAGCCCTCGACATAAGTAAATAACTTCTGAATAAATTTTGGAAGCAGCGTTTCTGTAAGTAACCTTTATTCCATTCGCAAAACTTTGGAAAGTTATCGTAAACACTGCGTTGAATCACGTCGCCAAGCACATGAACTTTGGACTACTTGCGCACTTTTGTACAGCCTTTTACTTTCGTGATGACCGATTCCACCTACGAATCCCTGCATTTCCCCGTCAGAATACTTGTGAGTTTATTAATATTCTTTTTACCTTTCACCTATAAACTTTCTTAGCGTGAAATGTTTTCGTCGCTTTGCACTGCGGATTTCGTGTCCGGCGCGGAGTCTGTGCTTTCATTCCTTCAGTCGCTGTGATTGGTTTGTCGCGTCATCTCATGAATTTAATGAGAATAAGCAACTTGATCGCAAAAGTACAATAAATTTTCTTTCCATCGCCAGGTTTTTCCCATAGTTATTTCACAAAAGGGATAGACTACTCTTTCCATGGGTTTACCGGTTCAATAAACCACTTGGGATGTTGGGAGAACACGAGAAAAGCTTGTAAATCACTCGCCTAACGGCTCGTGATTTACAGGCTTTTCGAGTGTTCTCCCAACATCCTAAGTGGTTTATTGTGCCGGTAAACCCATAGAAAGAGTGGTCTATTGCTTAAACAAAGAACATTTCCTTTGAGGTCCATAACATGTAATAATGACGTCAAGAAAAGAGGAAATGACGGCGTTATTTTCTAATATCCACCGAATAACTTGAATTAGCTTACGATTTCTATTAAATGTCAGGAAACCACAGACGTCACTCAGCAACACTCAAAACTGCTATTGTTTTAAACAACGATTTTCAAAATTTCCCACGGTCTGAGTAGGCTTAATTAATATCTACAACTAGTTTGTTCCATAGTTTGTAAGTTAGTCGTGTTAAATTTCATATATATATATATTTGTCTTTTCAGATGGTCTTTTGGTATTCTTTTATGGGAAATCGTGACATTTGGTAAGTACGTGCAAATGATTAAAATACAAATGAAATTATTCCTCCAGATTTTCAAAGGTAATTGATAATATTAAGCCTGCTAAAAAAAGAGTTGATGGAGCTACAAGAATTGAGAATATTTGCTTTAGAATTCTGGTATAAAACACGAGCCACCAACCTAGCTAGGTTGGTCTACTCACTCTCACTCACTCACTCACTCACTCACTCACTCACTTACTCACTCACTCACTCACTCGACATTTCGTTCTCAGAGCTACGTGCGCTTTTCTGCTGGTTTTCACTGTTGTGACATCTAAAACATAAATGGTAACCATTCAGTCAATCAAGTCAAAAATCTGAGATATGACAGAAGATTTAAATATAAACAACCACGCCAATATTTCGGTCTGAAGGTTTTTCCTGTTTGTTTGCTTTTGTCTTTGTTTTTGTTTTTCACACCAGTGTATTTTGGAGAAATATTTGTCCTAAGAAAGCTTTACGAAAGCAAGCAGTAAAACGCAGTTAATGGAGCGTGACGTGCAAACCTCGGAAACAGTTAGTTATTATATTTAACTATGTTAGAACGCTGTTAAACTATGTTTGGCACCCGCAGAGATCGAGTGAGATCCTTGAATGCTTTATTGTGTCAAGTGTTGCGAAAGATTGTCTAGTCTTATCACAATATGATCTGCATCATGGCAGCTTTCTATTGGTTACACCCATAGTCATGTCTAGCTAAAAAAGCACCATTATTGGCAGTGTAAAAGCACTTCCCTTCGGTGGCGTGCTGTACTCAGTAAGCTTTGATCAAAAGTAAAGAAAATTCCCACCCTCCCTCCCGGTGTGGAGGATGTTTTGTTTGTCAATAAACCTGGGGGTCACCTCCTTCGGGGTTGGCGGTTAAGTCTTCGGGTAGCGACTTCCCCCAAGCTTTGGGCAGTGTTTTGCCCCTTTCATTTGTGCACCTGCCAATAGTTTTGTCCGATCCGGTGCTGCCAGGGAGATAAGTGAGGCTTTCAATGTCGCGTGTTCAAATTTGACCTGCCAATACTCTTGTGCGTTTCCAGTGCGGGGTAATACTGGTGATAAGTGAGGCTTGAAAGGTCAGCGTACTTGCTATTGTTATATTGTGATCAAGTTAACCTGCCGTTACTCTTGTCCGTTTCCAGTGCGGTAGTGCTGGTGACAAGTGAGGCTTTTAAAGGTCACGCAAATCAAAGTCGCTTCCCATGCCAACCGCAAGGTTGTGTCCTATTACTCTAAAGCTGGAGCACATGAAATGAATACCTCATCTAATGCAAGGACCGTTCGTTTAGCAAAAACTCAAGAGATCAATCATCTTTTGACATAGGCGACAGCCTTCTCAGGCTAGCTCTATGAATAAAAGAAGAACCCTATCGAGCTAAAACCTTGCAAAAGGGCCAGTTTTTAGAGGGTCCTATGTCTATTGAAACTAAAACCTCAGGTGGATAGATCTTTTTTATTCATTTCGGAGTATGACAAGGTCACATGAAAATCGGCAATTTAACCTCGTTCATGTGATTTTCAAGTATTTCAACCCTTTTTAATTAGATTGATTGCTTTTATTCAACTCCTCTACCCCTTGCACGTCAGTTTTATAAGCCCTTTTCCAACATGTACCTCCCAAGGCAGATCTCTGGCAACGTCTCGGCAGAAGAGGAATCGTCACGTAATTCTAATAAATTAATATATTTAGAGAGGAAGCCACATCAGCCTTAGCTGGTTATCTTGTAGGTCCTCTATTCTGGTCGAATTTGAATTTGGAGTGTTGGTTTTTGTGGAGGGTGGAAAATAACTGCTGTTATTTTGCTTTTGATTCGATTAATGGATAACTAAGCTACGTGTTCAGTACAGTTCAAAAGAGTAATCGTGTTTCATTCTCTTTGTTCACAAAGCTCTAAAAATGTTACACTTTTAATTCGTTGGCTAGATTACTTTCTACAGTAGATTCAACTTATTCTAATTTATACTGCTTATGCATGTTCGCGTTTGAAGCTCATTTCATCTCCTTAGCAGGTGAGCTACCCTACCCTGATATAGCAACACCATGGGCTCTTAAAAGTTTTCTCTCCTCGGGAAGACGGATGCCTCGTCCCGACCATTGCACCGAGGAACTGTAAGTTCGATAACTCGGGCTTATCTTTTCCATAACAATCTCGCATTATAGTGTTTAACTCGACCTTTCTCCAAATTTTCCAAACATGAATTAGAGAAGATACCTGGAAAACAGGAAGGAGAATTTCACGAGAACTTTATTTCTGACAAAGCGTGGGACCTTTACTCTTCTTCGTAAGCGAAGAGAAGTATTGCCTGCCAACTCATTTTCTTCGTACTGCCAAAAAATTTTTTATTTCAAAGTACCCTATGTTTGTTTTAAAGAGCTTCCTCATGGACGCTGGTGTAATCTATGTTCCAAGTTTGGTGTCCATTGGTCAGATTTTAGTGATGGATATAACCTTGTATATAATAGCGATGGTATGATATACGATATTTTAAAACACCCGGCCTATAAGAAAGCACGTGCAAGAAGTGGTGGAAACACTCGCATGCGTTCATGCTCCCCGCCCACATTTCTTATTCTTCCAAACCAATGTAGTGTAATACAATGTCATTTTGTGCTATTTTCTGTCATCTCATGTCACGACATGTCATGTCAAATGATGCGATGTGATGTGCTGTGATGTAAAAGCATTATCCCCCTTTTTTTTTTTTGTAGATATGCGCTCATGCAAAACTGTTGGATGGAAAACCCCTTGATGAGGCCTACTTTTGAAGACATAACAAAACGGATCAAATGTCTCCTAAGGAAAGTTAAGGTATGTGCCGCTTGTTTACTTGTCACGGTAACTGTCAGTGCTTCTAACAATTCTATAGTGTTTTTCCCCTTTTGCTGTTTCTGTATATTGGTACTTTTATAACAGCTTTGCTGAAAAAGATCTCGTTAGTAAATTCCTATAATTTTCTATGGAATAATTCTCAGAGTCATTCATGATTCATCAAGTTTAAACAAAGGAAATCATGATCGTGACGGTGTTTGGATACCTGATCTTAATCAGCATAGATTTTTACGATTTAAATTGTCCATTCTCTCCTTCGATTGAGGAGATATATCAAACACTCAAGACAGTGTTTGACCACATTTCCAAACACCTTGAAGTTCTTAAAAAATACTCCGTTGCGCGTCTTATTTTCAACTCTCTTTTCGGTGTTTAGAAATGTGGTCAAACACGGTCTTTCGTGTTTAGTATGTTAAATCAAGCAGGGATTCAAAAGATCATCATATTTTCAAACACCAAGAAGAGAGTTGAAAATACGACGCTCAGCGGGAAAATTTGACGAGCTTTGAGGAATGAAATTAATTACAGAAAATTGCAAATTGTTATCTTATTACAAACTGATGGAATATCTGGAAATTTCTCATCGTTTTCAAAACTAAATCCCATTTCATCAGTCACTTCTGAAATGCTAAAATGTACCTCACTATAAGCAACTCGGTAGTCGTGGAGGTTGCAGTCGGTAGCAGCTTGCCTAGTTTACCGCTTACCTTTCACAAACCACTTGAACTGTTCTGCGAACCAAGAAAAGTCCTCTCCCGAGTCACTCATGTCTTCTAATGTTGGAAGGAATGAATGCTAAAACGTGAGGCAGAACATATTTATACTGTACGAATTTATCAATTAGAAATCGCAGTCCCTGTTTCCGAGTGCTTATTCTTTATTCTGCATATGAAGCTAATAAATCCAAACGCATTCCAATATACGTGTATGCAGCCACCAAATATTTTTACTATTTCTTAGTCGACCTCGCCCTTGTCAAGTCCCAGGGCAGACTTTTAGCACTTTTATTCTATTATTTCGCATATGCATCCGATGAATACAAACACAATGCGATATAAGAAGTGAACAAATTACATTACTTTGTGGTTGCTGTCGTCAGCCTCGCCCATGTGGAATTTAAGCGGGTTATTTTCAGCACCTCTTGTGTACCTGATTTATTCACCGACGGCGTAACCCAAGGTGAATGAATCCTTACATGTATTTTTTTTTTTCTTAGAAAGCGTATGAGAATGTGCAACATGATGACATCACGGATGACTCAGACACCTTCTAAGGTTTGGTTCACGTCAGCGACACACCAAGGCAGCGGCATATCCAAGGACTTAGAATTACGTCGCTTCAAGGAGTGAAAAGTGTGGGTGGAGGAAAAGTTGGTTCATTTTCGTAGAATTCCAGACAAACATCTGACGCATCTTTTTCCAGAACAAACAAAACAATTTGGAGAGAGACTGATTTTTTCCAAGGTGGATGCTAAAGTTTACTTAGTTCCGGATTGGACAAAACATATTATATTTTTAAATTGTTAACAGAAGAGAGCTCGCGTCATATCTTAGAAATCATCATTTTTTTTTTTTTTTTGATGAAATCATCATTTAATTCACGATGCATAATAATAATAATGATAATGATGATGATGATGATGATGATGATGATGATGATGATGATGATAATGATAATGATAGAATTTATTTAAACACGATTAAAAGTTACAGCAGAGCTGATGTGGTCGTGTATATAAAATAAAAATTCCTCACTAATAACAATTCCTAACTAATTAGAATTTAAAAAAATAAAGAAAAAACTAAAATTAAAAAAAGGTAATTTTTGGGAATTTTCCTTTTGGCAGAAGTGTTAGTAAACTGGATGTCAATGATATGTTTGTTTATTTTTTTTTCTCAAGCATCTGAGCGGGCCATATTCCTAAATCCTCGAATTTGATTGGCTAATCGTACGGACGTGACCGGTCCAGCTTTTTAAGATACGGCCCACGGGCCGGATTTTTTCTTCGCTGCCTAAATTTCGCTCCTAAAAGTTAGCGGTAATCGTCAATCTTTTGCCATTTTTACACGTCCATCGACGATTAGTCAACGCACGTTTTTCTCTGTTCACTTTAAAATGGCAAGGAAAGTCACTGTAAGTGAATTTAATTGAGTGTTTTGAAGTTGTGAGAATTTGCTTGGTTGTTTGTGCTTGGCGCTGAAATGGCGCGTAATCCTATGTTTCTCTCGCCGTAAAGTTTGAGTCAATGATTTCAGTCGAGTCTACCTCTCTGATCGTTGCTGTATTTAGTAGAATTTCTGTGGAATACACTTAACGAATTTCCTCGCTTTCTGCCCTTCAATTTAAGGTAGAAAAGTCTGATTTCAAATGATTTTAAAAGCAACGACTGTCAGAAATTGTTTTCGTAGTAAAACTTCTCACGAAATTTCTCACCGCAAAAACAATTTTGGAGAACTTAACTGGTGAAATAAATGCAACTAACACAAAGTAGTTCGAAAAAATCTGTTCTTTAATACATATATTTTTGTCTACTATCTGAGTTACTCGCTCGTTGCCGAGGTTTCTTACAAATCGTTGATCACCGTTAGTAGACGGCGCCCAAGCCGATTCAATGATAAGAGTTGCGTAAACAAACCCATTTGTAATCTGTAAAACCAATTTACTGCAGGAAAAAAAAAAATTGCCGGCTTAAGGTCAGTCCGTATAGTGAAAAACTGTGACCTCGAGCTTGAAAATGCTGCCCTCAGCCTGCGGCCTCGGGCAGCATTTTCAAGCCGGCAAATAACATGTATATAGTACACTCTGTAAATTAATCAAATTTGCTTGTATTTAGTCAGTTCCTTTGAAGATCAAAGGCCTCAGGGAAAAATTATGGTCCCCCGCGTTTTTTCCTCGTCTTTTTTTTTTTATTTTTTTATTCAGCAACTTTTTCTCTTACCACAAAGGTTTGATTGGTACAATAAATCATATTCTCTTAGCAGTACTGTACATAAATTGTGTGCCGATGATATCTTTGTATAGTAAATACTTCATAATTGATGGAAACCTGTTTGTATTTAGTCAGTTCATCTTAAGATCAAGAGCATCAGGGAAACATATGGTCGCCGGCATTTTTCCTCGTCTTTTTTTCTTCAGTATTCTTAAAATTTGTCTCTTACCACAACGGTTTGATTGATAAAATGAATCATATTCACTTAGCAGTGGTGTACACAATTTGTGTGTCAATGATATCTTTGTATAGTAAATATTTTGTAATTGTTGGAAACCTTTTTGTATAGAACAGATCCTCCGAAGATCAAGCGCCTCAAAAAAAAAAAAAAAATTTATGGTCACCAGCATTTTTCCTTGCCTTTTTTCATTCATCATTCTTAAACTTTGTCTCTTACCACAATCGATTTATCGGTGAAATAAACTAACCTAAAGAAAGAGGTCATATTTTGTTGTGTTGCACAGCTCTTGTTATCTGCTACTTTTTTTCAGCGTCAGATCGTGTAAACAGTACGTTGTTTTTGTCGGTCTTTCTTGTGATTTTTCTTTTTCATCCCTAGCGACGTTCTTTTCGCCTGTCATGCACGCATCCCATGCCAAGGAACGTTTTTTGGGGAGGAGTGTGTGCCTAGCCAAAACAACGCTGCCTAGAGGGCGACGCAAATACTAAACGTCTCTCTCGCCTTCCCGAGATCTACCACTGTTCTAAGTTATGAATTTCTCTAGCGTGTTCATGGCATCCCATATTGCTCGTAAGTAAGAAACTAGAACACTAACAGAAGGTGCTGAAAACAGTTCCCAATTCCAGCTTTGATACGTCATTATAACCACTCTTTATCAGTTGATGGTACAATTATGGTATAAAAAAACTGCCCAATCGTTTTTGAACATTTTTTATATTTTTCGCGACACAATCGGTAATCATAGCAATAATATAACCTGCTAAAAGCACCCCTTATTTGTGCTTTAACTGCTACTAACTCCAAAATGAACCCGGTGACCCCCATTTATCCATCATCAAATTTTTTAATTGTAACCCAGTCCCCTCTTACATAAATATGTGTATGTAATTTTTTTATATCGATGCATGGCTCTACGGAACGCCTACTCTGCTTGAAGTCACACTAGTTTGCTGAAGAATGCGCAAGAAAACTAAACACATGGATTGGATGAATTTGGCCACAAATGTGGCGTGTTTAACTTGACCCAGGACATTTAAATTGTAGCAACACGTCTACAGGACTTCCATTGTTCAGCAAAGGTGGGGCGACAAAGACGCGCCCACATTACTGAATGTAATCGAACAATTCGATGTCTGGTAACAGGGGATGGGGGAACGGGAAAAAATTTTCCTTGCAAGATACCGACGGTACAAGGGTCAAGGGAAGAAGGGCGAATTGCTCGAGAGAAATATCTTTTATCCTTGAGGGAACGCCCCCTCTTTCTCCTGGGGTGATACTTGACACAAACCAGACCTTCGGACCATTGCGTGACCGTCATGGCTCGACATAAATAACATTATGCGTGAACATCATGTTTGGCTCTTTTTTTCTTGTAACCTCATTGTAATTCATTAAGTTGCGATGAT